TAGTAGTTCTTTGTCTGTGGAGTCCAGTTTTTTGTGGGCTGTGTGGATTCTTTCCCGTAGGAGGGCATGTTCCAGGCGGTCGTAGATGCAGCTGGCCTGTGGGGAAAGGACGGTCCTTTTTGTCCTGAGGAAGGCTGGTATGGTTTTTGTGTCTCTGCAGCGTAGTAGAAATGTTAAGGAACATAGTAGGTGTGGTCTTTTGCTTCGGAGTGTTTCCAGTCTCCGGGTCTGTCTGACTGTTTCCTCCCCATAGAGGCGTTCAATATATTCGCGAAGGTGGACCAGGTTCCTGTTTACATGTGTTTGTAAAAGAAAAATAAGGTACAAGTAAAGGTTCCCCTTGACAATTTTTGTTTAGACACGGAACGCTGTTACCTTCCCACCGAAGTGGTCCCTATTTATCTACTTGCATTTTGCATGCTTTCGAACCGTTCGGTTGGCGGGAGCTGGGACAAGCGATGGCCGCTCACTCCTTCACGTGTATTCAATCTTACAACTGAAGATCTACAGACCTTACAGCACAGAAGCTTCTGTGGTTTAACCCGCAGCGCCACCATGTCCCTCAAATAGACAAATAATCCCAAATAAATATCGCTCAAACAAAGTCACACAACATTTGTATTTCATATTCACGAATCATTATGAACAAGTCCCCAAAGAGCCTTGTTGCTCCTCTGGGACATGCCATTTAGGTGTGCTAAGCACTGTGCATCACATTTAACTCGGCATCAAGCAATTTCAATAGGAACAAGAATACATGGGTTGGTTTTAAAAAAGGATGTCATAGTCAGAATCCTGATGAGGGAACATGGAACAAAAAGGCAGTCATGTTTTTCCTCTGCTTCCACAGGCCTCAGTTCTTGTGCCCAGTATGACAAAGACTAGAAGGTCAATCATGCAACCAGGGAACTTGCTGGAGGGGAGTTGTTACTACACAATTGCCCCGATACATATACTTTATTTTAACAGGATCCTGGTCTATGTCCACTGAGCCACTGGAAGTATTTCTCTCTGTACTCAAGAACAGAAATGGACACGCTGAGTAGCAGTGCTGAAGTTACTTCTCCTTTTTGTTTTTTCCTATCAAAGGTTTTGCAAAGTTTTAAATTAGGAAAGATTATTTTCTTTTATCACCTCTCCTGTTGTTACCCCTGCCCTTCAAATGTCAATCAGTTGTTGGAAACAGAAGGACAGACCTAAGTGCCACCACTGTAAGATTTCCTCTTGTATTCAGAAGAAAAGGACAAGGTGACCAAAATCATCCTCAAAGTCCTCATACCTCCTGTGAAAACACTTTACTGTATATCTGAATGATAATGGATGTGTATGTTGCGTGTGAGTGTCACTCTGACTCATCCTGAATCAATGCAGAAAAATGACAGAGGCTGATTGTGATGATTTTAATGGCTTTATTATAACTCTTGCAACTGCTGCTGTCAACAGGTTTCTTAGTTCGGTTTGGTTATTTCTTTTAAGAATGTTATTTTTATTTGTTTGTTTCTCATTTGAATTGCATTGATGCATTTAGAACCATATAACTGAATAACCATATTTTAAAAAGAAAAAACCCAGGAATAAGATATCAACTAGGAAACAGTCTCTGGCTTACATTTATGGAAACAGCTTGGATGAGGGTCTGATCATTGGACAGCTTCTTGTGCCCTGTTTACAAAACTGTAACCTTTAACCATTTATCACCCGGTTCTCTGTTTTCCGAACACAAAGGTGAGCAGAGGACAATGCAATTGACCTAGCTAAAGCAAATGAATTAAAAATAAAGAACCAGCTTCTACCGCAAATGGCCAGAGCTCTGATCTTAAGGACACCATGTGGAAGCAGGTGCTTTGGGTTTTAATATTATCACATAAATGCACTTAATATCATTCTGAAACTAGGGGAACGTAGTCATTTTCCCTGCCTAAAAGAACTAAGTAGAGATCCTCTAAGCAGGCTATCATTTATGTCCTTCAGATTTGTCCCTATCACTTGTTTGCTACAGCTCTGTCAATATATGCATCTGCACAGGGTTAAATGAGAACATCCACTTTAGCTGGGACCTGAAAATGATTGGGATATAGCTTTCCGTGCTTAGGAAATAACAGAAAGCACCTATTTGTGTTTGAAGTGAACCTTCCCTCTAAGTGCAAAAGCAAGTGGGGAAAAAAACAGTAATTGATTCAGAAAAAAAAAACTGTCCTGCCCCTCCAATGCCTTGTGTCATCACAGTCTGCAAATGTGTAATCCAAACAACAACACACACCCAGTGCTTCATCCACAACCAGCAGGGGACTGTCAGTCTCAAACCAGCAATTTACCTATCTGGATGTAGCCATCAGATGTTCTGTGGTATCTGAATGCTGTTGCTCTCCCCTCCTGCAGGGCTTCTTTATCAGACTGGAGGCTCTGCGCAGCAAAAGAGACAATTGTTGAGAAAAGCCAACCACAAGGATTTAGGCAGCCTGCTGTGGCAGGTACAGCCTGAACCACTACGGCCATAAAGCACCAGAGAGGATATTTGTGTTTTCAGAGACAGAAGGTTATTCTAAGAGGCAGGGTTGTTAGAAAGCCGTTCTCTGCACCTTTCAAGGGCCGATCAAGATGTCTATTACGGTAAGCATCAGACTTTTCCTGCCACAGGGTCTGTACGTTAAACTGGGAGTTATCAAGAAGGCTAGCTTCTAGGTTCTATTTTTGTTTCCTATTTGGTAGTTGCTAGAAAATGTATGTACATATCCCACCTTTCTTTCAATGTGCTCAAGGTGGTGTGTATGCTTTCCTTCCTCCTTCCTTCATCCTCACAGCACCCTGAGAGGCTGCCTCAAGTTCAACTACTGAGGTTCACGGTTCAGGGAGGACAAGAGCCTGGGTCTGCCAAGTCCCAGTAAAACACTCTAATCACATCACAGCGTCTCTTTCAGCTGACTTGAGGACACAGACTTTTCAGAATATATCCTTGCTATGTCTTCCATCCTAGATGTCTTCGACCCTAAACAGACACACTTGGAATGACAACCGAGGATAAAATACTGTAATGAGAAACCAGGTCATCACTTCCCAACAATCCGTGATGTCTGCAAAATTCTAATGCAAGTGATCTCTATAGAAGTCTGACATCGTCACTTATTCTCGGGATATCCTGAAGGGCACCCCTGCGTTGCCATGCAAAAGCCCTGCCACTCCCATGCACGAGGTTTAGGAATTGATCAAAACAACTGTCAGCAATTGGTGTTGAGAAGCTTCTGGAGAAGCCCGTCTATTCTTCAGCTTCTAGCATATGCTCAACACACTTACATCAAAGGGCATGACCTCCACCGTTGTGTTGAAGAGTTTATCTTCAGGGTGTTCAATATTACCACTGCGGAAGAAAAACCTGCACAAAAAGAAAGGGGGAAAAAACATCCAAAATGACTGCAGAACCTCACACGGGGCATTTTACAATGGAAAAGTATCACACCAGGAATGAGGTTCCCAAAATGCCTGAATTCAACAGGTGGCTCCCCTTTCACAGAAAGCCCACTTTGAGACAGAAGGCTCTTTAAGTACACAAAGAACCAATTAAGGATTTATTGTTTGATTGTGCCTGCAAATTAAGCACTCCACTGCATTTGAATGAATTTAAGCAAGAATCACAATTATCTGCTCCCATAGCGAAAACACTTTGCTGTTCAGCTGTACTAAGCAGGAGAATAAAAAGTCATTGTGCATGAATATTGAATGCAAGAATGATTTCTGGAAAGGATGAAGCTAAGATGGCCAGAATCCTAATACTGTAGTTCTATACACTGACATAAGTCAAATGGGGTAAATCACAGTGGCGAGAAGGTTGAAGTTAAGATGGCCAGAATCCTAATAGTTCTATACACTGACGTAAGTCAAATGGGGTAAATCACAGTGGCGAACTGCTACTGGTTAAGTCAATGCTGCCTTGCACACCACATTATGCAACTATATCAGCTTCCCAGGTAAATGAAGTTTGTTACTGCAATTTACATGGTTTGACTTAACACCAGCACACATGAACAATATGATTCTGGATAATGTTCCCATCTGAATAATGATAATAGGAACAAAACTTTTCTCCATTAAACACTCAATGACACTCCATAGATAAATGTATGGATTTCTTACAACCAGTGGCAGCTCAAAAAGAGTGAAATGATGTCCCTTGGAAAAAGAACAGAGACAGGCTGCCACAAGCACAGAAGAATTTCAAAAGGGGTTGTGCTTAGAGAAGGAGGTATTCATATACTGTACAAATATCCCAACACAAGTGGCGATAACAAGGGTCCAGCCCCACAGGGCCCCACACAAGTGGCGATAATGAGGGTCCAGCCCCACAGGGCCAGACAGCCCACTCACTGATCTGCCACTGCTGCAGACGCTGTGATTCTTTCAATGGCTTTTCAAATTGCAATTGGCTAGCCAATCCCGGCAGGAGGCGGGAGGACAAGCCTCACTGCAAGGTTGAAGAGTGGCTCGCAGATCGTGATCTGCAAAGCCATTGGAAGAACTGCAGCATCTGCGGCAGCAGCAGATCAGCTGGACCCTCGTTACTGCCATCTATGCGGGGATATTCGTATACAAATACAAATACCCCCATCTCTAGTCGTGCTCCATCATTTGCAGCAAAGTCTACCTTTGCATTCTGTTCTTGAGTAAAGCCAGTGGAGAGGGACAGAATATAAGATTCCTTTAAACACAGAGGTGACCCTCTGTTTTTGATAACTCCAAAGCAACAGTCTAAAGTGTAGCAGTAAATTCAAGGTGCAGCAACTTAAAGAGCAATAAGTACAGAAGAAGGCCCAAAGGATTCAACAGCAGGAGGTGCCTGACAGCCGCTTTGGAAGGAGGCTGGAGTTCAGATGTATGTTTTCTGGAAAGCTGTTATAATTTATACAGAAAGTGAGGAAGCTGATGAAGGCGTCTATCCTTTCATATACCAGATCTCCCCTGATGAAAGAGATCAATAAAACTGAAAGAGATCAATAAAATGAAAACGAATGCTCTTTTAAAACTATGGCCACAGTGCTATTTTATCCACAAGCTGGTGAAAAGAGGGCACGAATAGCCCTATTTCCAAGACCATTTTACCATTTTCAAGACAATTATTTTGCAAAGCTGAGTTTGAATCAGAAGGATGCTTGCAAGAGTTTACAGAAAGCAGTATGTATATATGAACAGTAGAGATGGAACTTAATTAGCTACTACCCCACCTTTGTTTCTGAAGAAAGTCATTTTGCTTAACGAAAATCCAAATTAAAACACAACATACTTCTAGGAAAACCTAATAAACCCCCATAAAACCCACAATATTCTCCATCACAAACACCAGAAGAAGACAGAAAAGTAACAGCAACACCTCTACATGCATATATCAAATTTCCAAAGCCAAATGTTAACTATACGGCTAAATCAAAACAATGAAGAAACCAGGCAGGCCTCCCTGGGGGAAGCACTTCACTACATAGGTTCCACAAAGGCTCCGTGTCCACCCACCAAACTCAGGCATGAGAGAGGCACTGTGCAGCCCCTTCTGATATTGATTTCAGTGGGGTAGGGGGGTGTACATCTAAGACGTGGTCCTTACATGAAGACCTGCATACCTCAAGCTTAAACAAGCAATTAAACATTGCTTTTTAAATGGATGGTTGTGCCTCACTGCTTTGAATCTGTTGTAGGCGTTGCTTTTGATTACCTTTTTGTCCAGTATTTGTTTGATTCTTTTTTGTATATGTATACTTACTGTTATTAGTTTTAAATACTGTACAGTGGTGCCTTGCTTAGTGATTGCTTTGTTTAACGATGTACAGTATTCGCTTAGCAATGAGGTTTTAGGAGCGATCTTGCGCTCCGTTTAGCGATGTTTCCAATGGGGGAATTTCGCATAGCAATGTTTGGGACCTTGCTTCGCTTAACAATGCCAGTTTAGGTCCCCCTGTTTCGCTTAGCGATGTTTTTGACAGCTCCGTTTTCGCTATTTTTAAAAGGTGTTAAATTGTTTAAAAAGGGTTTAGAGTGCTTGAAATCATTAGTGCAGTTAATAAACCCTTTGTTAACCAAATTTGGCTTCATTCTGACTCTTTTTGAATTTTTGGTAATTTTTTTCCTCCCCCACTGAAATGCATTGAAAAGGTTTCAATGCATTCCAATGGAGGAACCGTGTTTCGCTTAGCGATGTTTCCTATGGTGATTTTCGCTTAAGGACGGCAATCCGTTCCCATGAATTTTTTGGAACCAATTAAAATCGTTAAGCGAGGCACCACTGTATTGTCTTTTAATGATGCAAGCCACTTTGGGTCCTTTTAAAGGAGAAAAGCAGGGTAAACATATTTTAAATAAGAAGGAAAAAAAGAAATTTCAGAAGGTCGTTTTAAAGGAGAAAAGTGGGATAAATATATTTTTTAAAAAATAAATAATAATATTCCCCTATAGCCCTATGTTTACAGGGGACTCTCAAACCATCTTTTCCGAAGCAGCATGGTGACATCTACAAGCTTTCAGGGGCATTCAAGGGGCAAAGAGTGGGCAGGAAACTTTACAGGGGCTCCTTAGGCCTCCTTAAATTGTTCCAGGGGTCACAAAAGGTATGGCTCAGTCTGCCTTCCAGCTACACTAGCTCCTCGTTAAAAAACAAACAAAAACAACCACCATCTTTTAATGAAATCCAAGTAGAGAAACTCACTCAAGGCTCTAGCATCCTCCAGGGGCCACATGGAAGATCCCTCTCAATAGTGCCTAAACAACCAACCATACTTTACATATTCAAAAACAAGTGCTTTACAAAAAATATTTCTGTCATGTATTTAAAAGGTGAATCACAACTCCTGGAAGCTTCAAGCAGCAGGAACATGCATTTTTCTTGGGAATTCTGTGTGCAATGGTTGGGGATTTGCTTTGTTTTGTGTTATCAAAACAGTCTTGGGAGCTATAGGCAGCCCCCAGGCTGTGCTTTGCCCACACCTGCCATAGATGGAGGAAATGCACACTGGCTGATGATCCATACAGCCCCTGCATTCTAATCACTACATGACTCTCGGAACTGAGAGACACAATAGAATTCATGATGGAAACAAGCCTAAGAAAAAACAAGATGGGGGTCATGTCTTGGGCACCAGTGAGACTCAGGTGCGAGACTCAGGAGTATAACTTGGAGGAAGCCAATGATTTTTTTTCTCTGCTCTAGTTTGCTCTCTGCCAGGCTCTGATAGAAATGAAAACTAAAAAATCCTAAGTGGGACAAGCAGGGCAACAAGTGAATGAGATACAACTTGCCTTTCGGATGAACTCCATTCTAGCACAGAGGAGAGGGAATAAGTGACTTTTAAATGTCACACTAATCCTTCCTGTTGTTTGCCTCCACAAAGCTGCACAGACTCACCGTTCAATGCGGAGTGGCTTAAAGAAGCGAAAGCGTATGAAGTCACCCGCTGTGGGGGTAAATGCCCAGAAGAAATCTTCTCTTAGATATGCTTTTTCCAAGGAGAAATGCTGGTACGTTTTCAGGCTGGTGCTCACTTCTGCAGGAGGATTGACATGTTCTTTTCTAAGAGCTTGTTTTCCGAAATCTTTGTCCTCAACATGCAAGAGAAAAGCACAGCAATTCAGACCATGTTATTCAAATGTGCAATCTATTCCCATTTTATGTAAGTGATCCCTTTCTGAACTCTTGTAGTGATTTCAGTCAAGGGACTCACACACTTCCTCTCCCTAGCCATCCTCTCCTCATTTTCTCCCTTTCTCATGCTTCCACTGCAATTATCAGCTGCCAGTCTGTCTCTCAGATACAAAACTTTCACTTTGGCTTTGAGTCTTCTGGTTTAAAATTTTATTATGCCAACTACAAGTATGACAAAATGTGCAAAATTGGACTTTGTAGCTCCACCCCCTTGAATGTGAGGCCTGTGAGCTGCCAGCAAATTGCAAAATTGCCCTTATTTCCACCAAAGTTGCCCACCCCTTGGTAGAAACACAGCAAGAAGACAGGTTCACATCCTAATAACTTTATATTTGAACTAGTATTGTCACAATTTCGTCCTCACATATATATCATTCATCTGTTACTCTCTCTCTCTCTCTCTCTCTATCTATCTATAAATCCAAGTTCTCTGACGGAGAATATATATATATAATTGAAAGCTAGCTGTCTCTCTTTGCTTGATTTTTTTTGTTGTGATCTAATAATGGTATCACCTGCTCCTGCATTTATATAAATATTTTGTTTTGGGGGCTAGCATTTACTTGTCAGAGCTGAAAAGAAAAAGATAATTTCAATTTAAGATTAAAAGTTAAAATAATGTTTGTTTCTCTCTCTGTGTGTGTATGTGTGTCTTTAATGAATGCTAACTTCTTTCTGCCTTTAGGAAATAGGGTGATAAAATCTAAAATAAAATGAAAATTCCTGGAGCTCCTGAGGTTGCTGTACCAAATCGCTTGAAAGAAAAAAAAATGACAGAAATAGGAAAACAGGCAGACAGGTCAGGTAGCTGAGCAGCTACTCAAGTGAGCAAATATTTGTCTGCAGGCTTTTTTTTAAAATGATAGCTTTAGAGCTCTGAGTGCTTGTGGAAATAAAAATGTCCCATAGTAACGATTTCAAATGGGTATTGAGGACAAAGACTTACCATAAACTATCTACAATGAGCCACTGTCCTCTGGACAGCCTTATACACTGCTGTTCTAAGGCTTTTTAAAATGCTGCAAAACATAGCTGGTGAATGCATCCTAGCTACTCTTAATCAAAGTTGATCCTCCCATGCTTGAATTCCTTTGTCTTCTGACCTGACGCCTCCATTTTCCATCCAAACCATTTACACTTTGTTCCATTTTCTGTCAATGAAGCATCTGCTCCCTCTCAACAGAACAACACAGCTGACCTCCCTCTCCAGGGAACACACCTGCATTTGAAACCACCTGTTTGCCTCACCTATATGGCTGCATACATTCAAATGCCCAACTGCACTTTACATCCAGCACAGCATAGTGAGATACAGCATAAAAATTCAGCTTCTATGTGTTGAGGACAGCAAGACCACAAATAGTCAGACAGTACAATTTCCATACCTTTCACTTCTCCCTTTCCTATCAGTTTTTGTTTGCTAAGGTAATACCCTGCCTTTCTCCATCAACAAAGCCATAACTAGCCATGTTGGCACCTGGGATAAATGGCACTGTCTCCCACCTACACTGCTCTGAGGCATGAGTGTAACACACACACACCCCGAAAAAAAGGAGAATGTGGTGTGTCCCCCCAAAAAGAAAGAGGAAGATAATGTTTTCCAAATAAAAAAAGGGGCAGGGAAGTGAATAATACCGGGAGTGTTGCAGTTTAATTTCCTAACCCTCATCTGTAGATTCACTTATAGATTTTGGTTCCCTCTAATGACCTGGAGCAATGCCCCAGCTTTCCTGCCCTCCTGACAGCCTTATTCATGGATATCTGAGGAGCCGTGTTTTGTGTTCCCAGGCAGTTTTACTACCAGTCTGAAAACAGAATAACAACAAGCACATTCACACCTTTTTGGCCACCCATAAACCCACACCCTTCCCAGCCTTTCCCCCACAAATGGACTTTTCTCTCTCCTGAAATCTGCCTAACCCTTGCAAGCCCCAAACATCACTATGAGACTTCTTGTTCCGGGGTGGAAAGAGCACTCCTGTTAGAGAGTGGAGGTAGGCTGCACCATTTTGTCACACTCAATGGCAAGTGTGTACAATTATGGCAGGACCGGGGGGTGGGGGAGGGTCAGTTTTCTGCTTCAGAGACTGTAAAAAAGAATAACAACAGAAAGTAAACTAGAAGTAGCTGCTTCTGGTTTGAAAACAGAGAGGGGTTCTTGCCTATTTAAAAGATTAAGCCAAATTAAAAGGGGAAACAATTTTTCCAGAAAGGGAGGAAATACTGGGCTGGTCGACGGAAGAGTCTGGGAGGCTGCAAAAATAATCTTGGGGAGCCACATTCCCACGACCCCAAGCTTGGCTGCCTTAATAAGAAAACCTCCAGCAAGTCTATGTTACAAACAAGGTGATGGTTACCTAACACTGGTTTCCATTCACTTCTGGCAGACAGATTTATTATTCCACCTGTCAGAAGAACAGATGGAAGAGCAGCGAGAATTAGAGAAAGCACTTGGGAATATGCACTCATGAGGAACTCTAACAAGCAAATATATAAAGGTCAGGGCAAAACTGCTGCTCCTGCTTGTTCGTTTGGGGTATCAATTTTTTGCATAACCAGCACTACAACATTGCCTACTCACTTTTAGCTTTTGTATTTTACCAGCCAGGGAGGAGTGAGTTCCTACATGTTGGAAGAGTGAGGGTTTGAAGCGGATCCTGAGGTTGGCCTTCTGTCTGTCACAATGTTTCTGAAACAAGAAAAAGCACAACAGGAACTCAGGGTTTCTCCTTCCCCCTTGGAAGAGCAAATGTCAGTTAATTCCTTTCACCTGGGTGTGCCCAACAACTATTCAATGTTCCATCAAGCAGGTGGTTTCAACCTACACTGGCAGCATTTTGAGGTATTTATTTTCTGAACAAAGAATGCCCATGCATTCAACCCACACTCAACTGTTACGCCCTTCATCTTAAGCCCAGTGTCCTGTTTAAGATGGCAGAGCCTAATGCCTTGGTGTCATAGCACTCCACACTCTCTCCAGCTTGCCATTCAGCCTGCTGAAACAAAGAAAGCACAAGGTATGCAGACAGAGAGCATCAGACCACATGGGCAATGGACTTATGTGAGCAGAATTGATTTAAAGGGTTCTGGTGTAAATATTTGATATTTAAACCTACCAATTGCCCTGAAAAACAAAACTCGGAATGCAGCAAGTGTTTTCAAAACACTTCCCACACATGTGCTTACATCTGTTTTCATCTATACCTAAATTCATAAAATTGTTCTGTTCCAACAGAACAACCACCCAGACTCACAACTGAACTTATTAAACATTTTAGATGTTCAGAATGATTGACATGAATTGGGCTCCATGGTATAGCTCAGTTCTGGTACCATCCATCCGTAGTGAGCTTATTCCCACAGCCTGGTTGAAAGGTTGTATAGTAAAAAGATCACCCACAAATATCTTCTTCAGAGTTCATTTTCTGTAGGTTGTTGTACTCAACTTTAAGAAAGAGAAGTAGATGAACAAGGACTTTTCTCAGCAGAGAAAAGCTAAGTATTAAAAAAAAACAGCCCACAAATAGACACAGGTTTCTGAGCTGCAGGCAGGGTTGTACACACTTAACTTTATTATACACTGCTGGTTGTTTGCTCTACTGGGAGTAGACTATGTCTAGATGGGTGGCAT